ATCTACATGTAACAATATGTTTATAATGTTGAAAAATATATAAAATCACTTAGTTAAACATTTTCAGGTAACGTAAGAGGATTTGAAGCTTCTCACAGAGCACTTCTACTTTTCACAAGATTTCCTTTCCATTAATCTCAAAGTTGCTCTACTGTAAAATAATATAATATGAGCAAAGGAACTCAGGAACCACTTAATGTATATATATATTCCTCAGCGTTACTTGATTATTCAATAACAACAATTGGTCACAAGCTTCGGCGAGTTAAGACTGTTAATTAGATAATTGGAGTAAAAAGCAATGATATTAATACAAAATGCAATGTTCAATTCCACAATTAAAAGTTTTCCTAAGAAATGAAAATATGAAATTATTTCACTTTGTTTTATTTCGTGAAAAATTTACATCATTTTACGTTTGTATAATTTTGTTATTAATTGTATACATTGTAAATAAACAAGCGTCAAATTTGACCGTTGATTTCGAATGACGAAAGCCATACATAACTCCCAAGAAAATGGTTCTCACGGTCCGTCTTTCAAACGAAGCTTAGTTAACTAAAAGATACATAATTAGTAGCCAGTTCTAAAAAATCAAAACTAACCCAACACTTGCAAAAAAGCGTGAACTCTTTTGCTTATGCTTAATTTGAAAGAAAGGGCGTTTCTTGCATCTTTTGTGCATATATAACAAAAAAGTTCGAAGATGAAATCTTATTAACGGTTTACATACTTAGTGCAAGTATTAAAAGAGGCAGGTATTAAAAGGAAAGGTAAGTTTGTCATTTGTAATTTATAAACCTTCCATACCAAAAATTGCTGATTAATTTAGGTTCCATGCCCAGATATTCTTCTACGTGATCTGCTCTTTATTATTATTAGCTTTTTTGGAAAATATTATTTGATGAAAGGTGTTTCTCTAAAGTGTTTATTTAAAAATTCTGAAATTTCATTGAGTACATCAAGTTTCAAAAAAGTGTACTATATAGGAAGGGAAAAAAGAAGAGTTTCAAATTCCGGAAATGGTTGTTCTAAGATGTTTTCATTTCTTTTCTGTTTTTTTTATTCCATTCTCAACTTTTTTTGTCGGAAGTATTGATATCAGTGCAGGATTTAAATTCCGAGTAAATTTCGCTCGTTTTTCGCATTCTTTACCGTTGAATCGTAACAGAATATGGAGATGGCAATGGGCATAGTGAGATTACACAGAAAACGTGAAACTGAAAGTAGCAACGTAATGAAGGGACAGTCATTTATGGTAAAAAGTGTTATAAAATGAAATAACAAACAAATCTATTTAAACAAATGAAAAAAAAAAAACCAACATTAGAAGTCCGTATTTTAGATTTGAAATCACTGATTATTTTGAAATATGTATTGAAGTCATAAGAAGTTCTAAATGCAATTCATTTATTTGTACAGTGTGATGTTTACATTTTTTAGGCTTAAATAAAAACGTGGTTACGTATGTTCTATATTCAATCAATTTGTGAATTCCTTAAAATTCTACTATGTTTAAAGAATTATAATGGGGCAAAGGGTTCTGCACCTTACTTGCAGCCATAGTCATGAGTCGTGCCAGATACCCACTACCCATCAAAATAAGATGAAATTGTATAGAACGACGAAACTTCGACTTAATTATTTTACCCTTTGTTTATCAGTTAGATTTCTGCGCATATGTGTGCATGCTAGAGTTTATTTTGGTTTCCGTAATGCGGTATAATAAAAACCGTCATCTCTACCTGCCTTGATATATTCATACATAAATTAATTTGACATGCGTTAAAAGTCAATGTTGAAATGAGTTATGGCAGATGTGTGCTGTGTAGTATACAGCCAAGAAAAAGGAAAAATCTTACAACATATTACGAGCTTTGATAATCGTGCACGACGACATTGTGACGACATTGCTGTATGATGCATGTCAGGCGGCAGACTTATTGTAAAGTGAAGAGTCCAAAGAACGGTAGTGTTAGTTAGTTATATTGCTAGTGGTAGCGATCTTGACGATAATAGCAATAATAAATGGAGAACGAGAAGGCAAATAAAGTGGTACGGCACAATTTGAAACAAAAGAATTTGTTTTTAACATGAAATGCTCACCATTGTATGCACTTTTAGTTGCCATTGTATTGGCTTAACTTTTGATGGTTTCAGTTGAATAGCATCTACAGTTTTAACGGATACACTTACACGTTTTATACAAAATAATACGACCACGCTTTTATTTACATACATCTAGGTAGTCTAAAAAGTTTTGAATCTAATAACATATATAGCGTTGGTAAACCCAAAACATCCTGATCGACGTTGGCACGAGTTATATTATAAGAAAGGAGTATATAAACTTAATACTATACAGCAAGAATTGACGGCGTGCCATGCATATATACCCTTTTTGTTATCGTATTTGGTATTGTGTATTGCTTCGTTTTTTTTTTTTTTTTTTTTGTATTAGGATATGTGTAGTACGTCTCATTGCCGACTCATCTACAATCAACCATTTTAACCCACGCATATTGAGGCAAGGGTACACTACCTTGTTTCACAAATCTCTTTTAAGTAACCTTGATTTATTTTTTCCTTCACATAAGCTAGGCAGTAGAGCATGTTAGAGAAAAATAATAAAAAAAGAAAATATAAGTAAATAGAAACAGAAATGAAAGCGCACATGCAGGTGTTATCCCATCAGTATCATACGTGTGTGAAAAATAAATACAAAGCAATGTCATAGTTGTGTACAAATTTATGTGCAACGTTTCTAATTGTCGCCTGAATTTTGTCACATATTTACAAGGAATAGCCAACAACTAAATCCATTTTTAGTCTTGGGATATTTTATAGATACGATTTACGCTTGAATTCACTGTGACACAACATCCACTTGCGTGTCTAGGGGAATTGTTTTCAAAGCCCAAAGCCAACGTTATAGTCAATTTTTACCTGTAATGGCTACTATTTAATATTGCGTTTGTTATACGCACTATAAGAAATGTAATAGAGTTGTTGAATGCTTGTAACGCATAGAAATGTGCATCGGAGATTATATAAAGTGAATTCAAGCATATCCTATGTATCAAGATTAAGGCACATGCCACTCTCAAATTAGCTCTTGAAGTCGAAAGATATTTTATTAAAAGAAGCTTTACATTTAAACCATTGTAGCATGAACTTTACTAGTTTTACCCGCGTTTAACATTTTCAATAAAATATAATAAAAGGAAAAGCCTTAGTGTTTGATTTGAGCCTGTTCATCTATGGGCCCTTTATTGGTAGACCGGTAACGATCACAAAAGTTGACACAAAAACGTAACACGCTGCTCAATGAGTTACAGGGCTGGCACATAAATGTCCATTTTAATAAGAATCGGTTACTATTTGTAGAAAATGTCAACCCTAGGACGGCATCTATGAACATTTAATTCAATTTCGACTATTTCGTTACGAGTTACAACGATTTCCGTGAAACTGTCTTTGTTATTTCCATACTCATAAAAAAATGTAACGAATTTTGTGTATTTTAAACACCAACCATTGATGGAAAAAAATTATCTTCAAACCCATCATCATTTCGCCTAGTATAATTCTTCATTAGGTATTCGTTTTTCTGGAGCTCTTATAAAAGTTCAAACGTAAATTCACTTTGTTTAAATTTAGTAAAATTAGTTTTCTTTTCTTCAGAGAGTATGCCGTAGGTGAAGCTGACTTCGCAGTTTTCTGAGAGAGAATGTCGGCAGCTCTGTAGGGTGTTGAACAAATCCATGATTTCCCCATTTGGGAAGTACTACCTTTCAGCTATACGAAACCGTAAAAATTATTTGTGTAAGGTATATAGCACAGCATAGTTTACTAGACCTTTGGTAAGTAGTTCTGAGGTAAAAGACACCATAATAAAAATTTATACACTTCGTACTACAAATTTAATTTGTTGTCATACAAAGGTTTACTTTGCGTGAGTTACTTTATATTGGGTGAGGTACGAAAAATACGCAGTCCATATTTGGCGTAGTTAATTTTCATGTCAAATTATTATTATGGACGAATTCGACTGTGAAATAAAAAAGATTAGACCGCTTTATCATGTAAAGAATTACTTTTTGTAGAAATGGTTATAAAAGAAGGCGGTTTGAAATGCCGGCTCATCCGACTCACAATTTGTCGGGTCAAAATACTATATTTGTCGAGAAATTTTGACAATCGCAGTTTTTATATCTTACTTATATCACTAATGGTAAAGGGTCTATTTACGGCTTACATCACTTGCTGTATAGAATTTATTAAGTTTATGCAGACTTAAGATGAGTCCATTCCTTATTATACCAATCGATTCAGAATATATCATGTGCACACACGTTTATTTTAGGCTATAGCTTTACTTATCTAAGAGACTATGTTGATTAATGAACTGGAATTTTGCAAAAAAAATGTTTTTTTCTTACTTAGTCCGGGGGAGTTATTTGCCAATTTATTATTCTCTTCCTCTTAAGAGTTACAAGGTTTTGAAGAAACTTAATACATTCTGTTGTTGCTGTGATGGCAACGTTTGCATAGACCGGTGAGCACTAGCGGGTTTAAGTGCTTTACCCATCATTACGTACACATTTGAGTGCCACGTCCACCTTCGTCATTTATTGCACTATTGCACTTTTGCGTATACTTATGCACACTAACTGTGTGCTTGAAAATCACTTTTATTATCCTCACAAAATAGTACAAAACTGTAAGTAGTAGTTCATTAAATACGTTTTTATTTTTTTTTAAATTTTTCTTACAGATTCAGCAGATATTCAAACCAGCTCTTATGTTATGAATGACACTTGAAAAAACACGGCTACTTGATTACCTAACTACGTTATTTGCATGCAATTGCTTGGTACAAGTAGCCGCTTAAACTAAGTTGTTTACGCTTCAAGTTACTTCACATTTGTAGGAGAATAGATTTTCGCAAGCACATTCATTAGCGCACTCTGCATGTGCAATGATCTTACAATACTTACCTAATATTACCAAAGCGTTGCCTAACAAGCCAGCAAAACCAATAATACCGAAGAATATGGGAACTATTGCTGAAATGATTCGTTCCAAGGGCCACGTATCGTCATCGTATTCATATTCGAAATCCATTTCTAACAAGCTGTCCGATGGTGTTTTCGTGCCATTATACCCTAGAGCAAGTTTCGCTATAGAGAAAGTGAGATTTCCGCAATCTGAAGCATTTAACCCCTCAGTGCATGTAATCTTTGCAACGGCGGGTAATATAGCTCGTGAATCTTTCTGTTGCAAATTCCGGTTGTTGTCCATGTGTATACAGTTGACCGCAGTCTATTTCTGTCTGTTTTTTTTTTTTTTTTTGTTGACGGATGTTATTATGTGAAAGCAAACGTAAAATATGCAGAATATCTCTGAAATCGACCCGAATGCTGAGTTTTGCTGCTGAAAATCATGGCATTATTGTCAGTGTCGAATGCTAATCATTGAATTTTTCGAATACAAATTTTTCTATGACTTATTCCGACGCTTTTTAAGTTTGATGATAATCGGTAAGATAAATTTAATCTGTAAACAAAACGAATAAGGAAAATATCAGAAAATATGTTAATTTTTCCGTTAACCAATAAATTAATTAATAGTAATTAAGATGGAGTTGTATTTCATTCATTCATTAGATCTATTTAAGAGAAGGAGTTGCCAATTTAGGGCTCTTTCATATATTTTATTGACGTCGAGATATTATATTAATTCGAATTCTGACGTGCGGTTGATATTTTCAAAAAAGCGGAAGAACGGCATGCGGAATTTATTCGCCTTTATGTAGCGATGAGAAGTTGCACAGCCAAGCAAACTTAAATGCATAGATATTTCAAACGTTCGTTTTGCTTAATGTGCTGAAAAGGTGACTGAAATATGAAGCATTAACATTTGTTGTTAGTTATATAGTTATGATATAAACGTAATCAAACTCATGAGATGAAATACTTGGGAGCCTATTTCGACAAAAACTTAGCATGGAGTTCTCATTTAAGACGGTGCACCGAAAACGCGAACAGAGTACTTCTTGCCTGTCGACACCTGTGAGGTATAAGCCCAGAAATGGTGTCAAACCACCATAATCGTTTCTATGCTAACCTCTGCAGGTAAAAAACAACCTAACCTGCTCTAACCTCTAAGGTAAAAAAAAAAAAAAACGACGCTATACAAAACCCCACGTCTCGCTTGCATTGGCATGACCAGGGCCATGATATTCTGCCTCTTGAATGCCAAAAAATTGCTGCTGAGTATAACCTCGCTCTCTATAGCTATAGAAAAAGAGGCTTGCCTGAGCGCACTTAGACTGTCGAATATCGACAAACTAAAACCGGAAAGTCTCAGGGGATATCTTGAGGTATTGAAACCTTTTTGGACGAACCTTTTGTCAAGATATTGGAGCATTGCAGCGCAAGAATAACATTGGCCCATCGGTACAGAGTGACCATGCTGGCGAGATAGGTATGGGACAGACAAGGAAAATGGCAAAACTGATGCTGGGGCTTGTGGCCCGAGTTTACAGAAGGCCATATCAATGTGATATACTCCCTTATTCCAAGCAGAAGTCTATGCAATCGCGGCGTGTGCCTTTAAATGCTTGAGAAGGCAATACAGAAAAGAGCCGATCTGATCTCTTCCTATTGTTAAGCCGCCTCTAATATGAGTACCTGACCATTCGAAGTTTGAGGTCAACGAAAGGGCTGACTATCTTGCTAAGAGGGGGGCCCGAGGCACAACGTTGATGATGAACCTTTCTGTATCGTACCAAGAAGCCCTATTAACAGGCTGGTATCGCAACGGGCATAGAAAAAATCAAATTGGCATTGGAAGCAACGTGCAGGACAACGGTAAGCAAAAAGTTTCAAACTTCAAAACTTCCCGCGTGGCACATAAATTTCTGAAACTAAGAAGAGGTGTCCTTGACTTGGCTTGGTCATAGGCTTCTACCCGGATCATAATTCACTTATGTAACACCTGGAAAATGTGGATGTGTTCGATAGCGATACAAGCAGATTCTGCCGAGTGACGAGTGAGACGTCCCACCACAGTCTACGTGAACGTGAAGCCATCCGCGGCAATCAAAGACCATGCGTTTGGCAAGCATTTTATAACGCCGAGAACGGTGTGGCGCTCTGAACTAAAGAAGGTGGCGAGATTCATAAGAAGCCTAAAGCTGGTTAAAAACAAATCACCAAAACTACATTTCACTCTGCCATTTTTTGTTAATCCTTTTACCTGTTAAGTATCCTGCCAGTTGTGATTAATTTTTTCGTAAATAGCCAGCTTCATGAAGCTATTTTGTCTTATGACGCTAATAAGTGACGCATCACAAATGTTCATTTGGCTTCAACATTATAAGGATTTTCGTTTCCTACGGAAGTTTATTTTATCAAATGTATGATTTTGGTATAATTAATATATTGTTTCTTTATGAAGTATTAATCTTATATTTATTTATGTATTTCTTTCATCGAACTCATTTATACCTAAGTCTGTTTGTATTTATGTGCATATCTCGGTATGTACATTTAACAATATAAATTGTAAAATACAAGCATTCTTGACATGAATGTAATAAATGTACCAATTTTCGCGTTATACGGAAAATAAATCAGCAGAACTGAAAACAGGATACAACATAACGTACAAAGTTTGCTTTCAGACCTCAAGTGTGCATCTCAAGTGTGCTATGTGTGTTATGAGTTGGTTGAACTTAGGGTGACTATTGATTCAATTCTTCTTAAAATGTACTCTGTGAGACATTTTAGCTTTGAATGTGTACAACGATTGGTAGCCCAACGAATGGAATACAGATGTAAAGGGGGACTCTTGACGTTTTTCCTTTTTGCAATTCATTTATTCCATTTTTTAGTGTTTTGGGAAACCCTCTAATATTCGTAAAGTCTTTGGTTTCTGTTTTTTTCGGGTATTTATACTGTTGAAGCTATTTTTGTTATATTCGAAATTTGTCTCTGACAAACTAGTCAGAAAGGCGAAAAGGATTAACGAAGTAAACTACTAAGAAAGTCTTCGCAATACTTAAAAATTACAAATTTATATATAATAATTTTTTACCATTTTTCCAGTAAACCATCATCGTCACTCTTGTAGAAACTCTGAGCGAAACCCTAAACGAAATAATTTTCAAACGAGTCCCTTTGACTTCACTTTGTTTTCTCCATTTTTGTAGAGTCATTAAACGTGCGTTTCGTCGTTATGGAAGGCAAGTTTACTCCTATTGATCAATATCGAGTTTCGTTTTATATACAGCCCTACGTGAATAGTTCAAAGTTATTTCGTAGTTTGAAGTATTTTATCGACTTTATCAACGTTTCGTCGATAAGAACACGGCACGTCCTAAAGGGTTAAATTTCCAGAGCGGAAATGACCAAATCGCCTGTGAGATGCTAATTTTAATAAAGCATTTTAACCACAAACATATTAGCGTTTTTACAAGCTTAGGCAGTGTTATCGCCTTGTTCAAAGTGACATTGTAATATATAACAAAGTTTTCAGAGTTTTGCTCATTTTAAAAAATTCAATTATTACCTTCGACTGAATTGCACAATGTTTTTTTTTAATGGATATTCGCCTTTCCGTTAGTGTTACTAAATTTGCAAAGCTCTGAAGCCATTTAAAGGTGAGACCGTCAGGTGGTTTTATCTTGAAGAATTGGGTAAAGTGAAGAACCTAAGGAGGTGGTACGTAAATTTATGCAAATACCATTAGTCTTTGTCTTCCCATAAGCTTTCAGAATATTTAAGAAAACGGAAGTTTTTAAGTTTTGTTGCGAACAGCTTTGAACTGCCAGTAAATTCACACAATCTAAAATGTGTTCGAAACAATTTATGAGGCGATTGAAAAGAATATAGCAATCGTCTCTAGCCATTACACGCTTAGTTCACAAACAACTGTGCTAGAAATGATGGACATTTAAGAATAATATAGCTTTTTTATAATTTTTTTTTTCAAATACAGGTGAAGTGGTAAGTGATGATATCGTAAAGAGTCCGAGTTGAATTTAATCGTGTCTTGTGGAAAATTGCTTTTATTGAAATATTTGTGGGGATTCGGTATATTGTCAAGTAATCGAGGGGAAATTTTTTTTGAATTTTCATTTAAAAAAATTTAAAAACAATTTGAATTCAAGCACAATGTAGTTCAATTCATACCTTCAGACATATTCACTGACAAACCAAATAAAATTGTGCGCTCTGGTAGCTTTGCCACTGCCTTTTTGGAGAAAAATGTTTAAATACGAACATGCATGAAAACTATTCTGAATCAGCTCAAAAACTTTATCTGGATTTCCGTACGTCTTTTGTGTATGGACTGTTGACGATAGTAAAAATTCAAATCGAAACCAGGAACTTGGCATACACAGGTATATTGTCTGAATTTCAGATAGTTGGAAGCAAAAATGAAAAAAGTTGAATATCGGGCTATCGTTAAGTTTTCATTTTTGGAAGACAGCACAAATTGAAAACGTATTGGCCTCTATGTACGACCAAACTAATTTAGGTAGATCTAAACCTTCGGGACACCGAAAAATGCGAACAACTGCTCCGAAGTTTAACAACTATCACTGAAGTTCGTTGCATGTTTTTCGGCGATTGTTGGATTAAGGTAAGAGAGATAGGGAAATTAAGTCATCCAAAGATCATGCTTGCGACACGTTAAATGAAGCCTTAGACACGACAAAGGTGGCCGAACGTTACGTTTTGCTCACAATGGAACAATAATAACGGTTCATACGTCATCGGTTACAATGAACAAAATTATAATAATGGAATCTGAATTTTCGTCCCTACCCACAATGTTCTCCAATCTAAGCTTTAGAGCAAATGATGAGACCATTGTGGAAACTAAAGCGTATATGAAGGATTGACAAACCATTCTATACAAAAGGAACCGAAAAGCTAGAAAACTGACGGTTTTATCGACCCACTGTATTGATCTGAACAAATGATGAACAGTAGGCACTGTCTGATGAGTACGCTGGGCGCGGCAGAAATTCTCATGGGAGCTCTTTGTCAACTCTTTCGACGTGTGGGCGAACGAGGTCATGCAACAGGATGACTTTGCGTCTGTTAATGGCTATCACTGGCTCTATTTGTAACAATATATCCTTCAATTTGTTCAATTCGCGACGGCAAACATCTGAAAATAACAGTTTCATTCGGTTTTGGTAGCTCGTAATTGCTGATCCCATCATATGCACAGCAAAATTTTATGACTATGTCTATGTGGTGTCCATGTGGATGGGTCTCCTGAATGACAAATTTTTGCTCAGCTTCCTTAAGTTCTATAAGAAAGTGCTTTTTTCTAGTTATTTATATATGTACAGTAGTCCATTCACG